TGTATTTGTTATTTTTACATCCCTTGTTCTAACTACTGTACTTTCTGTACATAGGTAGGAAAATATATTAAATAAATGCTCAAGATAATCTTTATTAACTGTAGATTGTTCAAATTTTAGAAGAGCATTCTCAGAATTTTTTCTTGAGATATATAGATCCCCTAAAATCAATCCATATAGTATTTCATAATCTTTTTTTTTTTATTAAAGGTAATTTACTCTTGTTATAACCTTCCGGTTTTACAGACCGATTAATTATGCTTGTGCTTGATAATCAATGGATATTTGTAAAGAAGGTCAGTTGCATAAACTATCTATTTTAATTATAACTAGATTTAGATCATATCATATATCAATATATCAGAAGACACACTTAGCCCCTTAAAAATTGAGTATCTGCGGGCCTTGTTGCAAAAGGGGTTTGAATTGCTCCGCACCCTTTTTTTTGTTGCTTGCTACGCAGCAAGGCGTAAGTCTGGGTATAACCTATTAATTAACTTGCTCCTCCGACTCCTACACAAGAATTATTGGAATTCCACGCCCTTATTTCGTACTCAGGTCAAAGACCAGGGGTGTAAAACTAGAGCCAATTAAAGGCAGGTTCTGATAAATTATACAAGAGCGTATGAATCGTTGAGGTTCTACCTATACCGCTGAGACAAATCATAATTAATTTTTTCACCAAATGCAAATCCGGGTGACCACTTAAAATAAAATTTGATAGATTTACCTGTTATATAGATATTACCTGCGGATTGTTTATATAAAAACCTAGCTGTTACTTGACAATTTCCGGATGAGGGCGTATCCCTTATGACCGGTATGCCTAAGTGTAGATTTTCTAAAAGTTTCCCGCATATAGCTCTTTTCGCATCCGCTTTTAAAAAACCCTTCGGGTAGGAAAAATCTTAAAATCGGTGCCTAATCCCTTTAAGCCAAGGATTAATAGGTTCAAGGCCGAGAGGAGGTCATTGAGCTCCTAGCTCAACAGTTGGAGATAATGCACTCAAATTTTAACTAAACTACACTTATATATTTTTTATTTAGACTAAATTATGTTTAATTATATTTAACTAAAAGATTAACATACTTAGTATAGTGTTATTTTAACTTTAAATTTACTTTATGTTCATAATACTTAAGAAATAAACCTAAAAACTTAGTGATTTATACTATTTTCTATTTTTATTCATACCAGATTTTATTTGTTTTATTTTTTCTAAACCTTCTAAAGTTAAGTGAGCTTTATTTTTTAATAATTCTGATACTTTTTTAAAGTCTAAATAATTTTCTTTTTTAAAGTGGATATTTTTCAAAAAATGGTATTATTTTATATCTAATATCAGAATATTTTTCTACAACAAATTCACCGTATTCTTTAGTGTTTTTAGTTATAAATCTACCACATTCAAATATTTCAATAAGATTTCTAAGAAGATTTTCATCTCTAGAGTGTTGAGTTAATATAAATTTCAATCATACTGTTTCACCTAATTTAGATGCCTGAGATTTTTTATAAGCTACAAAAAAAACAACCTTCAGCATCTGTAAATCCAGCTAATCAATTATAATTTAATATTTTTCTTTCTTCCATTTTTGGTATAATAGCTGGGACTATATCTGGAAAAGCGTTCATTAAACTAGAAGATAATTTAAAATTTATAGATGCTTTAATAGATACAATTTTTCTTAAACCTTCAATAGAAAGATGTTCTTTGTTTTTAATTAATTCAAATGCTTGTTTGAATAATAAATAATCTTTATATTTTTGAGTTATAAGAGGATATCTATCAAAATGACCTATAATAACTTTTAACTCTTCTATAGAAGTAACTCTATATAATACTGAATCTGCTGCTAATTTACTAACTTTTCCAACACCAAAATAAGATTGAATTATATTTAATAACTCTTTATCTTTTTCATGTAAACCTATTTGAAATGATAATTTAATTCTAAAACCAGAGCTACATTTATTATCTGGGCTTATACTCATATAAAAACAACCATCAGTAAATCCTGTAACATAATTAGGATCTAACTTATTATTATTATTTAAAGTACTAAATAATTTAGTATTATTCATAATTGGCATATTATTCTTAATAAATTCCAGATTTCTCTGGCGTTCAGAGTACACCTTATAATATCAAAATTTAATTTATATTAAAGAACCGTCTACTCGTTGCTCTTTTACAAATATTTTTTATTTGACTTAGATCCGCGATCACCCATTATCAGTTTCCATTATCTCTTTTGATATTACCATACCCTGAGGCATTAATCAGGCCAGATTAAATTTTGGCTTAATCCTTGGTTAAAAGAGCTTTAGGGCTTCCCCGGAGTTTGGTTCTTATTCACAATGCATACCACTATGAAAGAAAGCCCAAAAGATCGCAAGAAAAAATAATGCTTCAGATACTATAAATAAAGCAACTCCTAAATTAATACCACGTTGAACTGAACTTGTATGATTACCCAAATAAGTCAAGGTTAATATTCCTCTATATTTATTAAGTTTTATTTAATAATGTATATAAGAACTTGGTATAATTACCAATAAACTGGGATATATCTTAGTTAATGGGTCCTAGATTATTGATGACGTATTAACTCTTTCGTATATTCTCTGAGGAGCTTACTAGGATAATTATAGATCCGTTGGTTTCCTGCTGATTGTCCACTTTTATCTTTAAAATTTTTACTTAATAAGTACTTAAAGCTTTAGGAATTTTCAGCATATAGTAAAGTTAATGAAGGCACTAATTTTCGCTTTTGTACTTTAGAAATATTAGACACAGATGCTGTCGTTGGCTACGCCCATATATTAACTTTTTGGTTTGGCTGCGTGCTGCTGCGTAGCAAGCAAGCAATGCAATGCTTCGCTCCAAAAGGGACAGCAGTAGCTAATAACTTATGTTTTTTATGCAAATGCCCCCATTTTCTCCTAGAGAAAATTGAAGGAGGGGACTGATACTGCTCCAAAAACATGCATTAGGCGCACGCGTAAAAAAGCAATTACTAAATATAAAATATTATGGCCGGAGCCCCATAATTCTAAGCAGAGTCCATTTTCTTTTGCTTGGTATGGGCGGCCATAGCTAATAGGGGATAAGGGAAAGACAGTGTAAATGTTAGAAAGTTCTTTTACTATTCATTTTTGCTTTTATTTCTCTTACTTTTAATCTACCTACTTCAGTAATATGTTCTTTAGAAATAATCATATTAAAAACCTTTTCCCAATCTTTGAAATCCAAACCTTTAACGCCTAATAAAGGATATTTATTAAAATAATCAATAATAGGTCTAAATTTCTCTAAAGATGTGATACTTACAGATAACATCTCTGTTGTTGATTTAGACTTTGGATTATTTATAGTATAAGTTAATAACTTGCTCGCATCTAAAAATTGAGCTATTTTTTCCATTATAGGTAGCATAGAAGAAGCAGTTGGGTTATCGTATGAACGTTGATCTAATCTAAAGAAAATACTAACACTTTCACTAACAGATCTTTTACGTGTTTCTGATTTAGGCTTAGCTTCTATCACTTTTACACCAAAGTATCCATCAGCCTCAGTAAAACCAGCAAACCAACTATTATCTGCCAAATCAGACTTATCTAGTAAACTTTCTGCTATATTTAAAGAATATTTAGTGTTCATAAATTCAATTAGCTTATTAAACCTTTGATTTTTTGGTGTTCGAAGTTTACCATGAATTAGATTAATAATAAATTTAATACCTTCAAGATCTCCAATTATATAACGAAGAGTATTATTACCTGTAATTTGAAAACGCCCTATCCCTCCTAATTCAAACTGAAGAAATGCATACAATCCTATATTGTTAATATGTGAAGTAAATACAATACGAGGATTTAATACTCTATTTAATTTAGTATTACCAATCGCAGGCAAAGAAATACATCCATCTCCTTCAATTAAACCAGCTAAGTAAAAACCTAACTGATCTTTAGAGAAATTTAGATGGCTAATTTTTTTAGAAATAAAATAAAGAGCTTGTTTTATCTCTTCTTTAGAAACAGCTTTTGCAATATTTAAAACATAGTTAAACAGAACAGCTTGAAAATATAAAATTTGCGCTCTACATCAATTTTTTAAAAATATAGCGACCTTTAAAAGGCTTTTTTTGATTCCTCGAAAAATATTCCGAAATTCTACGGTGAAGTATACCCAAGGCTTTTGCTGCTGCGCCTATATAATGATACACAGTAGTAATATTAGTCTCTAAATCTAAAACTTCCATTTTAATACAGCTAGGTTGAGATTTTGACATTCTTATTTTTTCTTCCTCTGTGAAAACATAATTAAATTTAGAACCTACAGTAGGTAAAAGATTATACCTTGGTTTTATCAGATCAATATAGTATTGCTCTCTATCTCTTAATACAGATTCATTACAATATTCGAGAATATCCAAGCTAAAATTAGAATAACCATACTTAAGTAAAGCTTTATATATATACATGTTGTAGTTAACTAAATAATTTACATTATAATATTGATATAACCTTGCTCTTATATCTTTGGAGCTTCCTACATATTTTTTACCATTAATTAAATTAACTCATATATAAACTCCTGACTTATTCTTGTTTTCTAACAGTATTTGAGCTTTCTGCACATCTGCATTTTTATATGTCACTGCAGGAATTAATAAATAAATGTTATCACCTATATTTTCAAACTGATTTGTAAATAGACAAGAAACAGTTATAACCACTAAAGTGAAACAAAAAACTATACCTTCAGAAATAACATCCCTAAATCAAAATGCCATAGAACCAATTAAAGATAAAAATCCTAATGTTAAAAAATACCCTGCATTAGAAAAACCATGCATTGTTAATACCAAATGTCTTAATCTACTAGACTAGGTCTCATGACTACAAATTATATAAAAACATAATTAGGTCTCATACAAATATTTAAAGATATTTTAAGGTAGATACTCTTATGTTTACACATAAGTTGGGACTATATCTTATTTTCTAAGTTGTAAAAGCCTTGCAGATGATCCCATACAAAAAAAGTTCGTTTATTATTCATATTATTTTTAATTGTTATTACTTTATCCAAAAAACCTTGGTCATACTTACCAAGTTTTTTAAATTCTAAAATTTTTAACCAATCTTTATAATCTAAATATTTTTTTGAAAACAACGGATATTTTTCTAAATAATTAATAAGAATTTCATTGGATTTTAAACTTATAGTTCTAATTCTGAACTGGGGATGGTTTGAAGATGTTCTGATTTCCTTTACCGAACAATCCAAAAAAGTGGCAATATCTGCCATAAAATTATAATTACTTAACCCATTATGGTATATTTGTCTTTGTACCAACTCGATACGACATTCAACCTTTGGATAATTGATTTTTTTATTTGGAAGTGTAGCCCTAACTGAAAAATGGGCGTCTCCTTCTATAAATCCTGATAACCAAGAGTTAGAACCTAAAGGTTCTGAATTTTGAGGTAATTTGTGAATAATGGAATTTTGGCTTTTTTTATTATTTAGCCAATCAATTAAACCATATAAGGCATTAATTTTAGGAGTTCTCATTTTTCCATTTATTAAAGAAACTATAAATATTATACATTCTTTACTGCTAAAACTTAAAACATAAGCGTTTTTGTTCAGATAGATATTACTTTGTGAAACCATTAGAAAGGGACCAACTAG